AAACCGCTTGCAGAAGAGCTCTGAGGTAACCCCATATATTTGTTTGCAAATTTCATGTGATGAAGCGTTTTACGCATTCTGATTGGCTTAGGGCAAAAATGTAAACAAAAGCGCTGATTGGTCGAGAACGAAATTCCCCCTTGTTCCCTGCAGCACATTAGTACAAAATGTAAGCTCATCAGTTCGGCTCAAAGGTTCTTTTCCACTATGAAGTTACCATGTGGTGATTAATAAAGAAAAGATATATATATCGCCCTCGACCGCGCCAAGATATTCAAATGTCGTTGAAACTTCCATACACCATAGTTTGTCCGGAAGCACTAAAGCAAAAATTGTCATGAGAGACGCCTACAATATATGTTTCAACTGGCTCGATTTTTCTGTACGGGAAAAGCATCATAATTACAACACTGTTCTTACTTTCACCAAGTACCTATATGGTACAATACAGTGACATTATCTTTGTATTCAAACAAGCGCTAAGCGGCGTCATGAGATCAGAGCGCTCATTCAGTGGTAATATATATCCGTGTCCCATCGAGCTAAGAGTACATTATAATTGGGTTTTCCTTTCGCAAATGTTTTCTCTACAATAAATGTAATCTCTGAACAAATTACATTCACGATTCAACGTTTCGACATTCCCATGCAGTGTCTGCGTCAGTGGTGATATAAAGTCCCAACGTGTCTCCTCTTATATTCGAGGGATGACGTCATCGTTCAACAAGGTGAAGACGTAATAAAGCCTAATGTGATCAGAGTAGCGAAAGCATGTATTGTAGCTTATTATTGCTGTGAATATAAATTGTGATTCCAAGTGATTAAGTATCTTACCAAACAGAATGACAGAAACCACTGGACTTTGCCTGTATTCTCCTCTATTCGTCTCGCATTCATAATAACCCTCATCATGTGACTGAAACCTCGTGATAGTCAATGATCCATCATTATCTATGAACACATCATTATTATCCGAAAGAATAATCATGTTATTCTTGTACCAAGATACTGCCGTAGGCCAAGATTGCAGGCTAGTGGATGAGACGCAAGACAAAGTAACTTTCTCGTTCTCTTGAAAATAACCACCTTCGGGAAGAACCTTTAAACCCTTGCCTAAAACTGTTGAAAAAAACAATAAAATATCCCATTAAGACGTTAATCATAATGTTGTATACAGTTAGAGTTAACTATGTTTAACTACAAACTAGACTCACTCCTGGCTAGATTGCTGGGATGAAAGTACCGACATGCCACCGTGAGTTATTGTTAGAGACGGACCAAATAACCAAATATTCCCGGCAATTATCCTGTGTAGCAGCCAATTTTTTGGGAAAGGACTTGTGGGCGGGAAAATTAAAGTGGGAGAACGGGAATTTTCCCGCCCCTAAAGGCCTATTTCCACTCAAGAAAAATTTCCACGGACAGAAAATTTTCCGAAAATGTCATTGTTAAAGGTTGAAAATTTTCAACCAGAAAATTTTTTTCCAACGGAAAATTTGTGTCGGCCAATCACATTTTACAAAATTTTCTTTCTGCGGAAAATGTTCCACTCACGTAAAGTTCATGCGTTCCACCCTTAAGACGAGCAGGTATCAGTATATAACTGCGCTTAAAAGGCAAATCTTAAAATCCCCATGCATAGGGGCGTAGGAACGGGGTGCCCCCCCAATTTTTTCAAAGGACTAAAAGTGCTCTTTTTTGTGATGAAAAGTGCCCTTTTTGTGCAAGCTAATGTCACTGTAAACACTAAATTAACATCAAAAGTGCCAATTTTGTTTGGAACTTTCCAAGTTTTTAAAAAAAATTTGGTCAAAAGCGTGAAATTTCGGTATGGTACGACGAGAAAATTTTTCTTCTTCCCCCCCCCCGTCGCCAACATTTCCGGGAAAAATTTAGGTGCCCTTTTCAATACCCTAAAGTGCCCCTAGAAGTCGGTGCCCCCCCAATCTTTCGATGCTTCCTACGCCCCTGCCCATGCATGATGTTTAAAGAAAGTAACCTGCCTTGTCCATTTATTTCATGTGTTGTGGTTAGAAGAACGATAACCTTTAGCCATGACAAAAACATCTTGTTAACAATTCTTGGAAAACGGCAGAAACAACGAACCTTGGGAAAAATAAAAACAGTAAGTTATAAGTGTTACTAACAGCAATTACCATGGCATAGGATATATAAATGCGTTCAAACTTCTTGTCTTGTCTTGCCGATGGGCTTCACTGTAAAAACTGTAATTGATTTTACACGACAGTGTTGGTTACATTTTGTTACTTGCGTCAGTTCCGTGGTTATCCATATAACTGAATAACAGCAATTGCACGCTTCGCTAACTTTGTATTCCAATGTTGTAAAAAAAAACATAACGAAACTGTTTGTACGAATAATATTATTGTGGTGTGGACAAAGACAAAGTGAGACTAACTGTGGCTAATTAGTGTATTATTATGTACGAGTCAAATCCAACCGCGATCAGGCCCCCCCGGGCAACCACCGGGGAATTTGACTTTTGAAAAAATAATTGGTCAAATGCCCGCCCGAACAGGCAGAAACCACAGTCAAATGCCCTGCTATAGGGGTAGTCCTGTTTCTGGAATTTTGACTAAAATTAAATTGAACAAGTATTTCAAGATTAAAAAGAACGAAAAATAGGCCAGACAGTTCTTCTTTTTGTTCAACTGAGCATATTGTATCAAATATCTATGATTGATGTTTGTGATTCAGAAGCAATTTTCAAACTATCGAAAAGACGCAAAATAGAAAACTCGTAAAGCGCTAGAATGTACACATATTTTTAGGGAAGACTGCTGAGCAAGTTGTTGTCAAGTGATCAAATGCCGGGCTGTCAAGTTCCCGCCTATACGGGGGTAATGTTAAGTCAAATGACCTGGGGTTGCCCGGGGGGCTGATCGCGGTTGGATTTGACTCGTACATTACAAATACTAAGTATCAGGCGTAATAAAATCTCTGATTTTTTAAAACTGATTTCTTGAGTCTTGCCGGAGTAACCCTTGATGAGAATAATATTATAATCCTTCCCTAGTCTAAGGACTAATGTCGTACACTATGTCTATAGTTAGCATGCATCGTACTCTTGCACTGCAAAAAATCCCCAAGTATTTGACTCAAAAACTTGAGTAAATTAACTAATGCAACCACAGAATTTTGAGTAAAATAACTCAAATTTATGAGCGAATGTACTCAATTTTTTCAGTAAGTTTCGAATTTACTCAATTTTTTGAATCAAGGTTTACTTTAACTGGATTAAAAGATTTACTTTACTCAAAAAATAAGTGAATTAGCTCATAAATGCATAATTACATTTGTCATTTGACTGTAATTTTACTCACAATGTTGTGTCACTGCATGCATTATTTTACCAAAGTTTTTGAGTCAAATGTTTTGTAGTGTGTTGTCTGCCCATGCCGCACGTCGAGGGTCACTCCACTGCTAAAGTCCTAACGCGTTTTCAATATTCTGACAAAGCTCTGCGGCGAAATTTGTTGCGAGAATTAAGTTGCGTCTGCGAAATATTGATGGTTGCACATGAGAGTCTCTATTGAATTTTCCCACTTTTTTCACTTTCACAAGGTGTAGAACTAAATGACTCCTGATGAAACGTAAGCTTAATATATACTGCTTATGCGTAGAAATGAGGAAAAAACGCTCGTTGACCTCGAGGGATTAACCCGATTAGGCCTTTTTTATATAGCCTTTCTCCTAATACATGATAAAAAAAAGAAATATTCATACCACAGCAGTCGTCAGAATCCGTATCAGTTTTATTTCAGGAGTTGTCTAAGATATCAGTCGCAGACAGATTACCGGATCTGTCAGATGTTCGAGTGTTTACTCATTCATTTTGGTCGTATATACTTGAGATTTTCATGATTTGAATACTTGTCATTAAGTATTTTACATGGCTTTTTAGGACTTTTACAAACATTTCGTCGACGTGTACGAGATGTTTGGAGTGATTTGCCCCCTCGATGATGCATTCTAACTCCCAATATTTACATTGTCAACATTTCTCCAACCACGAGGCATGTTAACAATTCAGTTATTGACGAACTGCATGAAAGGCCCTTTTCAAATCCCGAAGAAAAGCAAAACACAGTGGTTGTCTTTTCAAGATTGTCTTCTTGACTTCATGAATTTACCAATCTTACTGAGTACCAGTGGCGTCGCCACAGGGTGAACTAGGTTAGCATGTCCACTCCAGTTTTCCCCCAAGACAGATTTTTTCCTTCTCTAATTTCCTTGAGAAAATATTGGGGGTTCAAATCAAGTGTTGGTGTATAAATAAACCTTTCGAAACATGATGCAACTATATATAGAAAACGTTTCTTGCAATGCAGGAAATGGCATTTACAGGACTTCTTTTGCGAAACTTATTGTGTACATATTATTGCACCTTTGGCGCTCGTTTGTCCACCCTACTTTCACCACTGGAGACGCCACTGCTGAGTACTGTAAACAATGTTATTCGCCAAGACTCAAGAGTATGGCCAAAAGGCTAACGCGACTATAATCACAGAAGATGCCACTTTAACATCAAGCTCTTAGCTGCAGACAATCTTGAATGATCGGCTGTGCCAGTGGAGGTAGCGATGATAACAAGACAGCTGCGGATTGAGAGAGATACAACTACCTGAGGAATGTATATCTCATTAATAATTCATGAGTAAATTTGCCAACCGTATTGCTTTATTTTGCTCATATAATAATACTGGATACCTGGTGCAGTATACTGATCCAGTCCTAGGATCAAAATTAATTCAGTCCTTGGACTGGATCAAAATTAATTCACCTCACTTTATTCTTTCAGTAATGATTTATTCGTACTGAAATGTAATATTTCAAATCCGACTATGAGGACTGGACTAGATTTCACGCTAGTCCTCGCATTTTGATTCATCAAACTTTGACTGGAGTTCGCAGCTCGGCAGCTGTCGAGCTGTAGACAGCACTTAACTTTGTAGACTCTTTAAAACAATTCCAAACATTCACTGCCTTTATACAAATATTGGCTTTATATTTCATATTTGAATTAATTGAATAGAGAATTATATTATTATTATTATTATTGGCTTTATATTTGAATGCAAAGCTGAATATGAGTATTTATCTTTGATGTAGGAACCATATACTTGGTAATAGTTTGAAATTTGGGGGTTCTGTACAGCGAAAATTACAATATATACAATTATATATACATGCACAGCAGTTTCAAAAAGTGAAAAAAAATCTGAATAGCCATAGGCGACGTTTGAGCAGGATATGATCTTGAGATCACTGCATGATACTATAATATCGACTTACATGTTTCATCGCCCAGCATGCGTGATTAGCAAGATATATTCCCTTGGCGGTTAAATTCTTGCGAGAGAACGACAAATGTTTGTTAAAAACGACAGAAAATATTTATGATTTGATCCCAGTTGAAATAGTAAATACCAATGATACCAATGGACAATATTTGCAGATGAATAATATAAAGTGCAATTATCAAATAACTAAAAATGATGCAAATAATTTCACTTCAAACTATTAACCTATTCTAAGATCAAAGACAACGATGATGAATAAATAGCTCAATGACCTTTCTTCAAGGATACAGTCCTCACCTCTTTTAATTACATTTTTCTCAACTATCTACCTAACTCGACTTATAATACATCAGAAAATTCACAGGGATAACATAAACCTGTTATTTCCTAATGCGTGGTTCAAGAACATTACTCGCTACCGCAAATAAACAAAGGCGAAATTTCGAATGTACTCCGCTCGTCTGAGTTTTTTATTCCCAGGACGTCATGAGTTTGATCTTACAAAAGAAATGTACGTATTTTATGCTACATTGTAAGAATAAATGACGTTGTTGGGTCATATGAATCATATCAACAAATAAGCTCACACTTGCCTTCAACAACATGCGTTGAAAAAATATAACCCTTAGAAATGCTGACAAATATATGTTTGCGCAAATAACTTTAATTACATACCAATATTAAATTGCGCGTTGGCGTTTCTCCGTTCACATTTGGGTCGACATTATCTGTGCGTCGTGATATTTGCCTTGCGCTGGTATGACGAGACTACAGTGCAACCAGACTGAAAAACACCGTGAGTAGTGTATTGTCAATTGATAAGCATCGACGCCCTGGGATAATCCGATGATTCCGATCCAAGCCAATACAATATTCTTTCCAATACTTCTACTCCTGGGTATTAAAACACAGATTATCACACAATTGTTTTTGCTAGGAAATTTATATTATTTTACTGCAATTCATACAAAGTGAACTCAATTTCCTCTAATCTTCAAAGACAATATGCTGTTGCCAGCGGTGAATAATTGCAGCAACATTTGCTTGTCAAACTCCGGGTTAACTCCCAGTGTGAGATGGTTTGCTGATATTCACCAGTAATATACCCCCGGTTAATTATCGTTAAAAGTAAGTTTACAATGATTGCGTTATCCTGCCATAACTAAAACAGGACCTCACCTCACGCATCTTATGACTTCCTATAGTAACAAAACCAACAAAACGGAAATACATTACACATCTGATGTGAAACATATTTCGTGTTTTATTAAATGGCCAATCAATGTTCGTCATATTTTTGCCATTACATTCCTTCGATGACAGGTTTACTGTTGGTAAAACATGAATGACTTGACAAACATGAATGCTAGCTATTCACGCACCGCACTCAGTGGAATTCAAAATGTGCTGCCCCATCAGAAGAATAATTTACAGAGCAGTAGGAAATCAGAAAGCTTGCAGGTCGACAGGTTGTCCTGGTGCGCTGTTGAGTTTTTATTGAAACTAACAAGATTAACTTTATTGGGAAATTAAAACCTGTGAGAATGTTTTTGAGCCACTCTCATCATTAAAACCTGGAAATGGCGTCGTTATCTTAAACAGGGATTATTATTTTTCTATTAAAAATGGACTCTATTCAGTGATACAACTAAATGTGCAAGTCACACTACAATTAAGTAATCATTGTTCTGTATGTTTACTTTGACCATTGGCGGCGCATTCTTTCGAATGAATGAATCATTAGAAGAACCAGTATCACAGAAGGTTATAAAACATATTATATTTACATCCATAATCCCATATAAAAAAAATGGAACAAGTCTAATTCACACCTTATAAACCACTAGTTTCTCCTTTACTTCGAAAGCTGTGTACAATTGTCCTCGGATTCATTCAGAAAGAGGTTTAAATTAAATTTGTAAAATACAAAAAACTTCTAAATAGGTTATTTGTACTCAAAATATGCACGGCAAATGCGGTTTGACAATGACTAAAATTCTGAATAAATTTTAGACACTACGAAAGTACCAAAGCCTATTGATTTATTTCGTAATATATCAAAATCCAACTCATGAGAACTTCAGCAGATGTCCAGTTCGCGTAATAGTTTAGTCACAGCAGAAGCTCGAGTATCAAACGATGTGCAAGTGGTCTTGGCATCTGAAGTTGGACGGTAGTAGAACAAGTGGCTCAAGACCAGAAATCAAAGCAGACGTGTCGTCTAGCGGCCTAGTTTGTGGCGTAGATCATCTTATCAGTATAGCTTTATGAATTGTGACTTTCTGTGATGCTGTCAAATCGGGTTGGAGCTATAAACGAGCAATACACAACATGCCGTGTCGACTGATTAGGTTTTCGCCCCCTAAATGAGTTTGGTGGGGCTAAAGCAAAGTTGGTTTTCAATTATACTTGAATTGTTAATTCATTGCTGATGAACAGTATTGGGTGAGGCCAACGGTTTGAAGTTTCCGTGATAAGTGCACAGATTTCAATCGAGGTTTTTATTTTAATTGGTGGGCACGGCTCTGGATAGTCAGGATAGATACAGGCCTGGGATAGATATCTATAGCAAGTACATTCCCGCCGTTCATTAGACATTATATATGTTCTAATGCTTGCTAATTTGTTTTGGCTTTATAAATACGTATAATAGTCCAACACAAGACACAGGGAGCCCAAGCGTTGATCTGTGTTAGTGTTCTATGTTTTTCAGTTTATTTATTTTAGTGTTTTTATATTGCCTTTTAATTGAATTATAACACTAAATTACACTAATATGTCATTGCTGCTTGCCCTCAGGCAATCTGACAGCTTTCCGAAAAAGGGACTCAAACTCTCAAAGGAGTTCGGGAAGCATCGATAAAAAAGAACCGCACCCCCCACATTTTATAATAACTTTGCATACTTAAATACCTCCGGTTTGAAAATCCGGACATCCATTTGAAAATCCAAGTCGAGATTTGGAACGGCTTTACATAACTCGGCCAAAGACACTGGGCACGAGCGAATGCGAAGAACTTCATGTTACGTCAAGAATAGTGTGCTGCTTGCCTGAGGGCAAGCAGCAATGACATATTAGTATAATTTAGTGTTATAATTCAATTATAAAAGGCAATATAAAGACACTAAAATAAATAAACTGAAAAACATAGAACACTAACACAGATCAACGCTTGGGCTCCCTGTGCACAAGATTAGAAGGGTATTGGTCATCTGTTAGTGACCAAGTTAATTTTGCCCATCATGATATGCCATCCTCCTACCCAGCCGTTTGGCACCAGAGCATGAGAGAAAATACCCTGGTGTGGCCTGGGTACGAGTACGTTGAATATATGCTTTACAAATAACTTGGTAGGGGCCAAGACGTTATGGTTTTGTCAAAAGATCTCTCACATATTTTTCTAGGGGCCTACTAGTATCTCTGCTCTGAATAAAACGACATAAAATCCACGATTTGTGTTTTTTTTACACTAAAAATCCCGAGATTGAGTGTTCAATGGTACTATCGGTCCTGGGCCGTATGGTGCATGTGAAATTGCCGGTTTTAGCTAGACCAACCGAGGTAATCTTCGAGTTGGATGTATGGAGCGTCGTATGTTTTGCACCATAAGGGAACATTTGCTGGACAGGACTACGATTCCAATATTCTGCAAACCCAGAGAGCAAACGTTTACTCATTTCACCAGCGAGTCCACGTCTGCATGCAGGCAAGTCAATCCCCAAGTCCAAGAGGAGGCACTGCCAGGCCTGAAACCTTGATTTCTACCGTTGATGGGATTTCCTATCTCAAACAACGATCGGAATGTCAAATTCCCCTTTCTTGGCAGATGCGGCACACACTAGGTCTAGGTATATTTAAATGTTTTGAATATGCGAATGTTTTAAATTGATTCAAAAACGATCGATCTAGTAAGTTCATTGGCGAAGTAATTTTCAAAAAATACGTTATGTAAGTCGAGAAAATCAAAGTTAAAGTTTATGTAAATCAAGGGCAATATCTATCACATATAAAGATACGACACGCTTATGATATTTCTTTGTGTTTTCCTCATGAATTATTAATGAGTTTTTAAAATTAGAACAAAGTACTGCAGCTAGATTAGTAACGTTAAAAGTTGTAAATTATGACGGCCTCGTAATTTGCAGAATGATGATCGGGTGGGGAGGGGGGCAGGCCAGACAAACTTGGTCGATTCCGTGGACATGTTTCCCGGAAAATTTTCAAATGGCATTTCCTGCATTCTGTGCAAGATTTGACTTGGAAAATCCTCTACGATTAGAAAATCTAACCACCCACAACAATCATTTCAAACCATGTAACGGGGAATCATGAGTACGTATTTAATATATAACAACTTTGCATTGGAGACAGCGAAGAATATGTTCTCTCATTCGATCTAATCATTCTTTCCGAGGGCTTCGCCGCTCCACTTTCATCCTTGTTCCACCATCCAAACAGGTGAAGAAGATACGGCGGTCTGGAGGTCCTCCCCCATAACATTTTTATATTTTTGCAATTGATGCCCAAATGACTGCATTTTCTGGAGCATCCACAGGGAAATGACGAACATATTTTAAGTTTATACTGTTTTCGTTAGCTTGGAAACTGCACTACAACAAATCGGATTTAGAACTACTACACATCCCAAATTTGTTATCGAATTTGAACGAATGTAAAACTACACTCTGAAAAACATTAGGAGGGGAGGACGCCACTGTCAGGAAATATAGATTTTCGGAGATATGTCTGACAAATATGTAATAACCTTAAAAACGCAAAAATAAAACGGGATTTGACAATGTTCAACTTCATATTGAAACAATATTTACATAAAGGTGATTTTTAGTTTTCGGCTAGCAGCTAGGGTTGTTTGGTAAATAAACTAAATTCTTACATTATTATTATTATTATATTTCTGATTTGCCACGCTACTACAATTTAGTAGATATAAATTAATTATTTACATGCATAAGTAGGCGGCGAGGAGGCATCCGGAAACCTTAAGGCTTGTAGATTGGATGTCTCCTCGCGGGACCGTGTTAAGATAAGTGATTATTAGATTAGGAATTAATGTATTAAATATTTTAGTGATGGTGAAGAGATATCATTGTTATAATTGTTATTGTTTTAAAATAAGATTAAAACAGAATTAACTTTCTAATAAGAAATTAAGCATTCTACTCCTGAAGTAACTCAAAGTCTCTGTTTTTAAAATATCATTTGGCAGTGAATTCCAGATTTTGGGACCTTGAAAAAGAATTGTAAACTGCTTAGTATTTGTTTTACATATACATTATAGAGGTTTAGATTTGACTTCTACCGCTACCTCTACCATTAAGGGACCATCAACCAATCAGATGCGTTTGATATATTCGATTAACCAATCAGATGTGTACTAAGCCAGTTAGAGGTGGTGGTAGCGGTACTAGAAGTCAAATCTGAACTTATGGCTCTATATTATTTATAGAGAGTTCGGCAGCCGACACGACAACAGCAGAACACAAAATGAATTATAATTTTGTATGCATATATTACCACCACTTGCCAAAGCATATATTACTGAACTTTATTTTCCCTTATTAACTTGATTTAGGCCCGTTTCATACGCCGTACTTCACATGTGCCGAATACATTAAAAACAATAGATAATGAGGCATTTCAGCTCATTATCTATTGTCTTTAATGTATTCGGCACATGTGAAGTACGGCGTATGAAACGGGCCACAAGTATAGCAATAGTCAGAGAATTCACCATAAAACACTCCGAACGTTAAACTGAATTAATGCACATTTTCATTGTTTTGAACAGGTTATTATTTTCAAGAATCGACATGCGCAAGTTAATGCAACGTCATTATTTAATGTCAGGAGGTTATTATTTTTAATAATGACCTCCAATATTTAAAATAATGACCCCGATTTTTCGCTTGAATAAAAAATAAACCATTGTGCGTTACAACTTTGCTTTAAAGCAAATTTTAATTACACTACAAAAATTTCCATTTTAATTTAACTACAATTTAATTTAACTACAACGTATAAAGTTTTTCATACAGTGTTTTTCCAGGATACCTTTCTCCACCGTCTTTTCTTACTTCTGCGATGAACTGATGTAATACTTCGTTGAGGTCAACTTCTGGCATCATATTTATTTCTGACTTGTAAACCAAGAGAATTTTATCAACCAAACGCATTTCCCTTCCATCTTGAGAGATCTTCTGGCGCCATTGTGACCAAGCGTCGAACATTCTGTATGCCCACATCGCCTTCCTCTTAGTATTTTCTGGGATGCTTCGCGAAGCCAACTCTATCATACTTTTACTGCTGCAAATCTCAAACCGGTCAGACGTATTCTGTTGCTCTATTGCAAAATACAGGGTGTCTCAAAAAAACCGCTACCCTTAGAAATTCACCATTGTTCTAATTTGAATGCCTGAACCTTGTTGAAGCCCTGAATGCGTAAACATTTTCACAGGATGCATATATTAAAGATCTTCGGAATTAAAATATCCTTGAAAAGCGAAATTTTTTATCCTGGGAATTGAAAATAGTTCATACAAAAGTATAACTGCACGAAAATCGTTCAATTACATATTAGTGAATGTCAAGCAAATGGCTGAACTGAGCAAAGAGTATTTATTGTCTTAAATTACCCATGAGTTCAAGATAGCACTCAGGCATTCAAATTAGAACAATGGTGAATTTCCAAGGGTAGCGGTTTTTTTGAGACACCCTGTATAAATAAATTCAAATATTAATCGCTATGATTAATGCTTGTTACTAACTTTTAAACAAAACTTAGCTAAGACAATTTTCACCTTTTCTATCCAACGTGCTTTTCCCAGGTGCATTACATCGCCGCTCACTGACACTGTCTATCTGACTTGGCCTTTCCAGTGAAATTCTCCGCTCTGCAAACAAATCCAATGACTGGGAAAGTATTCCATGCATCCAGCCCATCGTCTTCCAAATCTAGACAGTCGCAATCCCAATCATTGGTCTTTTCAACTTCAAATTCATCGTCATATCCTTCTCCAAACAAACTAAAATCTCGCTTTCTCGAACCAGACATCCTCACTCCACAAATATCAATCAAGTAATAAAAAGGTAGCTGTTGAAAAAACACAGCCCAGGAATGCGCATACAAAACACAAATATGGTGTGAAAAATAATAGTACCACAACAATGAACTTGTAACTATCTTAATAGTTTTCTTTGTTCATAAACACCATAATGTGCATTAAGTCGGATAATACCCTCGCTCTCGGTATTATTAAAAATAATGACCTCGCGCTACGCGCTCGGTCATTATTTTTAATAATACCTCGAGCTTGGGCATTATCCTATACCTATTAGCGTCGTCATCAGCCGTGAAAATTATGTAAATAACGTAGCGATTTGAACAACTACGGCGTACTAGAATGTTCAAGTGAATACAATTTATAGTCGCTTTTGTCTGAGAGTAAGAATTCTATTGTTTATGATTACCACAGAGGTTGAGTATACGCTGCATTTGATAACAGTCATATAATTAAACATTTAAGTAAGACAAGATGTAAATTGCAATGGGCTAACCACTGCAGATATTGATAATCATTTGGTCAATTCGCTTTTTATTTTTGCGTTTTTAAGGTATTTATTTCTCAGATTAATATCTAAAAAATTCCCCCTGAAACATTTTATCGCCAAACCAAATGTCTCCTACTGTTTAGGTGATTTTTTAACCACTTAAAAGTGCGATAATTTGCATAAATTATGCACGGTTCCAGATTCCAGTATCGTTGTATCGCTTTTTAGTAGTAGACGCAGGCACAGACCAGAATACTCAAGTCATTGTTTGTTTAGTTATGCGGGTGTAGAAATTTTACTAGATTACTGCTCAAGATAGTGTTCAGGAAACGCAAAAGGAAAGCCTTGTAACCCGGATTTCTACACTCTATATATACAGGGTGTATAAAAAAAAGGAGACCTTTCGAAATCAAGTATATTGTTAAAATTTGAATGCCTTTTCAATTGCACATATGCTGAACCGTGGTGCGTGAAATATTATGGAGTGCATATGCGATCTACGTACAGTATGCATGGCAGATTGTTCCCAGGAGCAGACAATCTTTTGTTTAAACGTTATTTCAATTTCTAAAGGTCTCCTTTTTCTAATATATGCACCCCATCAATATTTCACGCACCACGGTTCAGCATATATGTGCAATTGAAAAGGCATTCAAATTTTAACAATATGCTTGATTTCTAAAGGTCTCCTTTTTTTTATACACCCTGTATACCAGGCGGTCACACGTATAATTAAATTGGACATGACGTCATGAGAGATTTTTTGCATTGAAACACTAACTTGTTGAAACTGATAATCAGAGCATTAAATTTTCGTTTTTTCACCACAATCCAATATTATGGAGGTCAGGAGGTCTTAACAGCGTAGACGCGTTTTTACCGATAACCGGTTTATCGTTTATGTTGGTAGCTTGAGGAAAAAATAAAGATAGAGATTTGCAATCTAAACAAACACACCAGACAAACACACTGATTATATTCTGCCTCTGAAAGGGATTTTCTTGGGAGTTATAAAGGGCGCGCGAAAATGCGGGCGGGGAGGAATTTCATACTTGTACTACCATCTTGTACTGTTGTAGTGTTGCATGGCTGCTCATTATTACTGAAGCTCTGCTGGTAAATTTAATTCTCTTGTGACCGCCTGCACTATGACTATGTGAAAAATTACATGAACATTTGTATTTTTGAAGTAGTTGCATCCCTATCAATCCAAAGTTTTTACCACTGCCGTACAAGATTACTTGATAGATCATCCGGGAAGATGCATTTTCCTCAGCATCCGCCGATCATACACCTCTGATTACGGGAACCACTAGGTATTTTAAGAAAATACAAAATAACAGTAACTCCGAATAACATTAATTATTATCTGATTAATTATCTGATTATTATTAATTATTAATTATTATTATTATTATTAATTATTATTATTAATCATTATTTGATTATCTTAATCCTGAGGATGACTGAAAACAAGTCGAAACGTCGATTAAAAATCAAAATGTTATTCGGAGTTACTGTTATTTTGTATACACCTCTGAGTATCTCAAACTATAATCCTGATCAAAAGCTTTCCCTATCGTGAAAGAAAGGCCAGAAACGTGGCTTTCCGTATATACGTTACCTCATCTCCCCCATGAGGGGGACGGGTAATTCAATGACACATATACCCGCAGGTTCGATTCCTGCCAGGGACCTATATATATATATATATATATAGTTGCATTTTTCGCAGCTGTTCCTGGTCACGTCTAATCAATGTATATAGAATTTCCACTCGATAATTTCCATCTACAAAACACTCCAACGGTCAATGACACATATATAAGCCCGGATCAAACCGGGTTGAGAGTGCATGCGAGTCACGCGACGCTGTTCTTAATGTTTTCCCAACGCTATCATGTATTCTAGTTAAGTTTAAAACATCGTTGGAACGCTCATCAAACCTTTATTTTGTTAATCTAGAGCTTGACGTGTCCCCCATATAAGAATGCGCAACTGCCAACTCTCATCCTTGTTTGACTGGGGCTTTATATACTTATGACACATTCATGAGATCATTATGTGTAATTTTGGAAAATGTGCCAAGCATTTTTTTACCAGAATTATATTAGAGTGATCTATTATACCGAATACCTGATAAATTAAACAACACGGCTAATACTCTTATAATACTAGTCTAATGTCGTATTTATACACATGACTCAGTTATCATTTGCATATACTTTGTTTGCATGTTTGCATGACGATAAATACAACTTGTTTTTGGTTTAGGGAAACACAACACATGAAAGCTTACGAGCAGTATGGAACTTTCAATGTCATGACAATATTCTGGCGAGCGTGATAAATATAAACTATTGTTTAACCTTCAGGTTAAATTTTTTAATTATTTTTATTTCTATTTAGTCGTTAACTGTCGTGTCTAAGTATAATAGTAAAGTGTCGATATATCTTTATGTCAAATTAACTAATTAAGCAAACATGGGAGAACACTCTCCTTCGCAGAATCTAAAATTCAAATATGTTGTAGTGGTAACATAGGACACATAGGGATAGTAAAGAATTGTAATGGTAACGTAGGGATAGTAGAGGACATTCAGTGGATATTGACTAACAATTACGTAATTTGTCTCCCACGTACTAGTCAGTACAAATTGTAAGGCTCTATCGGAGGAGAGTGTCAGGAGTGTTATAGGCCTATTAAAGGTGATCTACAGTCCGATCTGCGCATGTGCACAAATGAACCCACTTTTTATGATACAAACAGTTTAACTATGTTTTGAGTTCTTGAAAAACCTGATTGTTGTTTCTTGATAATTTCTTATACTCTAGAAGCTTGAAAATGTAAATAGTTGTCGAATAAAGCTCAATATTTTGGACACAAAAATGTAAACAAAGGCTTTGTTTACATACGGACTGTAGATCACCTTTAAGAAATTAGGTGTAGTGTTTGGAAAAAGTGGGTGTGGTTCAAAGCACTATAAACTGTGTTCAAACTTAACTCTCTAAAATCTTAACTCTCAAGGGCCGGTCGTTCGAAAGCGGGTTAGCTCAACCCTGGGTTAACGTGAAGTTCAAAGCACACTTCCCAGCAGCTTGTTTATAAACTTGGAAATATTTTTGCAGAGGTGTTGTCTAGATCATCAGAAGTTTAAAGTGGAAGTCAAGTCCGTATGTAAACAAACGGTTTGTTTACATTTTGAACTGCTGTATTTTTTAAAAATATGATGTACTGTCTGAATATCTAACACCATTTGGTTCGCTATGCTTCTAAATGAATATGAAATAGAGTTTATGTTCAGAAAAATTCGAA